TTTTTCATTGCATCCAATAATGCTACTTCACTATCGTCCCAAATGGAGATCTCTGTGCCGACCGAAACATCCTGTTAAAATGCAATTATGCTTTGATACCGATCGGGTCACGTTTAACATAATCATTGCGGAAAAACCTGGCCACCTAATGAGCATACGAAATTAACTGATTGAGGTTATTACGAAATTAATTACAAGTGATAAATAATTGAAAACATTTGAAATCATTGCATCTTTCGGGCACATTTTGAAATATACCAAACACCTGGATAAATGGCGATCAACCCCGAATCGCCATTTTGTCCGGATAAAGTTCCAGTGAATAAGCCGATAATAAGTAGCTACAACTTACGGAGCATTTCTTTAACCGACCATTATCTTTGCGACCATTTCGCAGTTTTAGATGTTCTGAATAGAAAACAGGCATTTTTGAATATCCCTTATGCTATAAACCGTCTGTGCAGATAGAGTTTACCACTAAAATTTAGGTCACATAAGTTCAAAAATGGAGGTAACTTAAAGAATTATGAATACAACTCTGTCTGGAGGTCAATAGGTGAAATATTGTCCTACAGTCCTTTAGTTCCCCTTGGAAATGATATAAGGAGTTCTATGGATGAAATTCGACTGTGAATGTACTAAAGGGGTCGGTAGTAGTGAAAACTCCAAAAACAAAGTCTGAAGGACCCGCGGAGTTAAATGTAAATTTAGAAACAATATCGCTCACATAGAGCTATTTAGTTCAGGTAAAATCAGGGGTGAGAGCTTACTTCTAAAAAATTTCCCTTGCTATTTTGCAAGCGAAAGAACTCATCCGGTCAGCCAGTAGATACTGTGACTTCTAATCACTGCGTCGAATAAGGTGACGTGCGTTTTAAGCCTTTCTAGTCCCCATATCGGTCGTATTCTCAGGAAAAGGCCTTTTTAAAAACCGAGTCGTTCAGCATATTTGGCCTTAGAATTTCCCTAAGAGATGTGTTTTCTTGGGATTAATGTGCGGGAAATGATCGAATGAAGATACGGTGTCAATTTTAATTGCCCGTTTATAGAAATATACATTGATCATGTTAAAAGTAAAGAATTGAGGCCATAACAGACAATATTCGACACGGGTAATTTTAATTAAGTAAATCTAAACAGATGCAAAATATATCTTGTTAAATCTATCAATAATCAAATACTTAATTGATGAGAAAATTGGGCACGCCTCTATTGCATAGTGTACTACTTTGACTTTTTTGCTTACCTCTCCGTTATGACTAAACAAGCACTGAAGGCCACGGCCATTGTACATCCCCCCAGCGGGCTGGCCTCCGGACGACGCCGATAGCTCCTCAGCCCTTCCGTTTGTCGCCAATACATATATTTCTTTAGGATTATGTCTTCCTTCGTCTTTGAGGAGGTCTTGGGGTGCTACAACAGTTCCGCATCGTTACTCAGGTGCTTGTGTTCATAAAGGAAATCACGGTTTGGCTTAGTAGGGCTGAAAAAATCGTTAAAACGTTGATAACAATCCCAAAGCACTTGTGATGGTTTATTTCTTTGCATCCACTTAATTGGTTTGCAAAGAGGTACGGTGATTTGACCGCTAAAATTTTCAAAGGAAAATTGGACTAGTTGCTTAAATCCGAATTTTTAAATTAGGCCACGGAGTCGCGTTGTTTGCGAATTTGAGTGGGCTTAAGGAAACAACAATTGCGTTTGACTAGGATATCGCACGCGCCTGAAGAAATTTGTCTGCTAGCCCAAAGTTTGCTAAATTAAACTTCAGTCACTTCTTAAACGACTCCAAAAATCATGCACGTGATAAAGTGCACTTGAATTTTTGGGGAGCTTTTCGTTACAGAAGTTACAAGAACAGCGCATGTTAACCAACTTGCCTCTTTAAAAATGAGTTATGATTTAAAATGAAACTATTTGATGTCAATCCGATGAGCTGCTTAAGAAGCATGTGAAGAATGGTATAAGTTTACATAATTGGGGAATTCTGGAATGAATTATTCGCCTGTGTAATTCTTCACCTAAAGTACAAATTTAGTAGGACTTCTTACTTGAAGGAAAGTTCTTAACCCCTCAAGCCACCTTTGTATTACTTGACAATGCACTACAAATAAGCACTACGGGTATTTCCACAGAACTTATCAGTTTAAGTCAATGTTGATCAAAAGTTAACCTTTGCATTTTACACATTTTAAACCGTAGGTCATGTTTTGCCTGAAAAATATTGCTTGAGCTGTAGCTTTTGCGAAAAATTCCGGCGCTGTCTCAAAATTCTGCTTGCTTCTATTTTTTTTAATAAAAAATTGTCGGTTTTCCAACCCACTTTTAGCAGGAAAAGTCGCCATAATTTGAATCAAATTTGATACTTTACCGCCAATTTCTTGCAATATATGGTAGATATAGCGAGCACATACTGCTTTACTAGTATAAATGGGAAATTCAATCTCCCTTCTAGCGTTCTATTTATGTTGGTTTTCAGAGTAGTCCCTTCCCATATTCATCCAAGTTCCTCAGGTAAACCAATTAGCTCATTATTCCCATAAAGGAGACGAAAGAAAAGTAAATGACAAACTTCCGGCTCCAACTACCTACCCTACATAGTTTAGGAAAAAAGATTTTGCGGCCAACAGAGAGCTGCGATTTAAAAAATCTCAATTTCGAACTTACTTTTGAAATAGCGATGCAATGCTACCCACTAGTTGATGATTTTGGCAATCACTCGGAATGGAAATAAGACCTGCGAATTGATAATTTAATGAAATCTTTTCTCTGTTTTGCCCTTCTACCTCCATTTTTAAACGCTCTGATCAAGAAGACTGATTAAAGGGGGCCATCATGTATTGGGGTAGTGAGGGATCTTACAAGGGATCAAAGTCCTGTGAATGCACTAGAGTTTGCCTCCTACCTAAGGATATATGAAACCTTCTCACTCAGGAAGCTGATGTAGCTTGCGACCTCAAAAGATGCATTCAAACAGGCATTTATTGCTTAAACGAGTTCCTTCAGTCGAAATAAAACAGCGCTGTTTGTAGATGAAATTTTTAAACCGAGTAAAATTAGCCTTTCAACGGCACTGGGTGGTCTGGACGGGTGGCACCTCATCCGAGGCACGTGTCACTTTGCTCGACTGTGGGGTAACGACAATCGCGTGGTTGGCGGACCCCTGACATTTACCTCGCAGTGACCCTGCACATCAATCAGGGCAGCTAAATGGCAGAATTGTGCAGTCTGCATTGGTTTTGGGGCAGTTGATTAATTGCGTCGTATTTTATTCGGCTATGATGTTTGTCAAAAGTTGGCCTTGTCGTCCTGCAGGAATGACAGAGTGCGAAGCCTAAAGAGCATTTCCATAAATCATTCGCTGCGCATCGACCAAAAATCCAGTTAGCCTGCTTTGCATTTATTTATGTTAATTAGAAAACTTATTAAGCTTTAATGAATGGGGGGTTAGGAGCGATGTGTGAAGATAATCTGTGACTACTTTAAATTGGCACAAGTAATGTTAGCTTGCGAGAAAATCAGAAATAATGTATCAATGTATTGTAAGGCTGGATTAAAAATGCCTTAAGCTGCATCCATTATCTGTCTCTGAACAAAAAGTCACATTTATTACTTATTTTATTGCATTTGAACCATACCTCTCTCCCTGTATTAGGGTTAAAGAATCAGGTAAACTTCCCTATAACACACGGAATGTGGTACTAAATACAGAGCTAACCTTTTCATTTCGTTATTAATGTTTATTTACACTTGCATACAAATAGAATCGGAATGGTGAAATTGTATGTTCTGAGGCATTTTACATACTTTAGAGAAAATCGTAGTGTCTAAATAACCACATTAGTGAGATAACAACTATTCACGATCCTTATTACTTTTTCGTAGTCTTAAACATCGAATTGAAATGTGCTGCATTGGGTGGGTTTATCGTCATGAACAGCTAATCAAAAACTGTCTTGAGTTTCAAGAAATCTTCCAACCAGCACTGCTAAATGAAATCTGTAGTTCAAAAGATTCCACAGTGGAGTGCAAATGATTCTGATTTGAATTATAGTGTGAGCTCCAGTCCATGCAAAGCTTTGTATGTTTACCACCAGTGAGCTTTGAAATGACTTTTTCTCGTTTTGGCTTCAGGTTTATGGGGTGCTAATAGAAGAGGTAAATTCATTTATTTGGTAAATGCCTGGTTTTGTTTTTAAATACTACTCTTTGGGAGGGCGTGAAAGTGGCAAAGAAATTATTATGTTCGAAACAAAAAAAAACAATTTAAAATGGGGGCCATCAAAGTGCTTCTCAACAGGGATAAACAAATCTTCATTAAACAGAATAAAGAACTGTAGAGCTTTGATGAGTTGCAACGACGCAGGTGTCTGGGGCATACACTTTTTTGTGTTACTCATGGCAAAGTTGCTCTTAAAGCACTTATCTTGCTGTGTTTCCCTTTAACCAAAGAGACAGAGCTCTGCGGCAATGCGGTGATAAATGTCCGATGAGCCGAAATCGATTGGCTGCCAGTGTTTGGAATTTTAACCACCTCCTCTAGCGGTCTTGTGCTCTTGAAATAGCCGGAGGGCGAATTGATCATTATTAAATAAAAAGATTTTATTAAAATCGTTAATTGTTGTGAGAATAACTTCCTTATTGCCTAGCAGAATTTGGCAAAAAATATGCATTATAAGGCGCCATGACTGAATTCTTTCAGTACTTTAGAAAAACAGTAAAGCATGTTTGTGTTGCTTTTGAACGTTTGCAGTTTTCGACCTCACTTTAATTCCCTTTTTAATTATAAATTACGACATTTAATAAATTCTCCATGACACTCTTCAGACTTAGGCGACCCATTTTTTACCCCCTCTCCAAAACATCAGGTCATACTTGTGCACGATTTTTTAAATTTTATACATTAAAAATATCTGGTTTGGTTGCATAAAATGCCACAGGCAAAGGAAATAAGTAGGGCCGAAGAGTGCTTAGAGGAAAAAAAGTAGACAAATTCATTTTTAGGTGCCCTTCTTCTCATGACAATTGAGATCCCGATGGTTGTATTTGTGCTCTTCCCCCTTCTCATTCGGTATCAACTTGTCCACTCGCTTGATTTTCTCTCGCAGGCAAGTTGCCTTGGGATAATGGGCAGAAGTCATCTCCGTTCGTGTTTGCTGATGACGACAAAGGAGTATATCTTTCAGATGTTGGCGGAAGCTCTTGCCTGTTAGGACGTAGATGATAAAGTTGCAGGCGTAGTGGGAGGAGCAGAGGAAGTCAATAATCTCCTTGGCTGTGAGGAAACGCAGGTACTGCTGCCACGCAGGATTTGCGAGAATCTCCTCATCGGTGATATTGTCGGGTATGTCGGTGAATCGCATCTGCACCACGAACACAATGCCTACAGGAAGAGTGCAGAGAATGAGATAGAAGGAGAGGATCACCAACATGATGGTCACTGCTTGGAAGTTAGCCTGCTCCTTCGCGCTGGCGTGCGCACTGCTATGCTTCGCGCCCAGAACAAGAGGCTCTGAGGATTGTTTGATTGTTCCTGTTCTCGCTACTTGTTGATGGTGTTGGTAGTTGTGGTTGTGGTGTAGACGTCGGACGATAGAAACGTGATGAGTTGAAGAGTTGCCACGACTCACGAGGATTTTTGACTTTACCAAATGACCTATTTCTCGAAGAACGAGAATGTTAAACACCAGTGTAGCAATGGGCACAATGAGGGAAAAGATACACTCCGTGGTGCTGAGATAAATGGAGAAAGTGGTATCATTTTGCCATTGGTTAGCAAGAATGCAAGCTCCGTCAACTACTTCCCACGTAGAAGCAAAAAAGATAGAGAAGCAGGCAACGATAACGGCAAGCAGAGAAACGCCGACTAGAGCGCGGGTGGTGGAGCAGAGTTTTTGGCGTTTAAAAGGGTAGCAGATAGCTATCCAGCGCTCCAGGGTAAATCCAAAGGTGAGGACGATGGAGTAGTATTGGAGGAAGAGAAAGACACCCTGAAAGAGCTGGCAAATGCCGTTTACAGATAGGGAGGAGCTCAGGAATAGGTAGAGCCGAAGGTACTCAGTGAAGAGGCAGATGATAAGGAGGAGATCAGTCAGCGCGAGAGTGGCTAAGTAGACAGCGGAACTGTTTTTGCCGCGTTGCCGTTCGGAGACCCAAATGAAGAAAGAGATGGCATTTCCGATCAAACCCACTACAAACCATATTGGTGAGGCGTAGAGCTTCAATTCAAAGACCTCTGGAAGGAAGCGCTTGATGAGCAGGCCGTCGGGATATCGCCGGTAAACGTTTGGGCTGTTGGTGACATTTAACATCATGATGGATTTGCCACCAGATCACTGCTGAAAAAATAATAAAAAATGTGTCAACATGCTTTTTGTGGTGTTAATAAATTAATGGAGATGATAACAAGACCTCAAGATTTGCGGACCTTGTTGTGACCGCATTCTTTACGGCAGTCGACAAACAAGGCTACAGTTGGTTTCTAGTGTTTGAACTCTTGAATTGAAAAAGAGAAAGGCGGAAGTGTAGTTAATCTTCCCGGGGGATCTACAACCATTTAAAGTGTTAAAGCCCTATGAATATAAAAGGGATCTCCATGTTTTAAAGAGCCTTTATTTTTTGGCCTATCCGACTAAGGTAAATGGCGAATGAACTTTACCGAAATCATTAGTGGAATAGTGCCTTAAAACTGAGGCATCGAAATTGGATAAAGTAAAAATTGGGGCAATAGTTTGGACTCCTTTGTATAAAATACTTGAAAATAATGGAATAATATGCCATCAAATTAGTGAAAAATTTGATTAAATAACGAGAATCCCTAAACTTTTGATAATACTAAAATTATGCTACTGCAATAGCATTTGAGTAGCAACCACCTAAACTGAAATAAATTCAAAATAATTGGAAGGTTACTGCATCTTGAGTATATATTCGGCATACTTTTTATAATTACCGACTTTGTAATTAAAAAAAGCCCAATCCTCCCTTTCATCTGCAAAAGACCTAATGGTACAGCCATAATATAAGTCTATAGGTAAAGGTAAATTTGTCGCGCTTGCATCCTTTAAATTAGTAACAAGAGCAGGGCTTTACTGGTGCTTACCTTCCCATTTAATATGATTAAGTGCTGTATATATATGCTTATCCGTTTAGTGATTGGACGATACAGGTGAAAAATCGCGCAAATCAAGAGGCTCTTCCTTGCTTTTTACAACGATCACTTGGCCTTTGTAATCTAACTTTGAGTTTGCATTAGAGGGTGGTCTGTGACTGGAGTGCATTACCACTTGAAGGCCACATGGAGGTCAGTTGCGTTTGCTTTTTGATGGCTTCCGACCTGCGTCTTTGCTTGAGGTTAGCCATAAAAGACTTTTGTGTACTTTTAGTAGCATGCACACACAGAAATGCGTGTGTACATACAAGTTTTGGCGCTTCTAAGTCTACCATGTCGAGTGACTTCACGAGTTGTTTATTCAAATGATCAAAAAGTCAATCATTTCCATCATCACTTACATCACCATTAAATCCCATCCTTGTAGTGAATGATTATCACATTTTTAGAGAAACGTGCTCACTTAATAATTAATAGCCAAAATGAGCGTACGCGGCTGCAAAATTTAAATTTTCGCTCTTAAAAAAGGAAAAAGTATCATTGTACTTGTACCAACATCATCATAACCACCTAAGAAGAAATTTTTTGCCTAAAATATGTTTACATATCGTGCAAAACGTTTCGTTCCCTGACAACTGTTTCCAGCCTAAGCGGAGTCCGATTACCCACAAATCATTCGCATTTAATCCTTGATGCCTAGAAAATTGCTTACGCCGAACAGCTTTGTCATAAGCACCAATAACTATTTTACCCTACGGACTTACCTTTTGCCTTTGTTTAAGCACAATTAAACGCTCTGTAAAGCACAGATCCATAAAGTGAAATTATTTGCCACAACTGACTCTATGTTCCGAGTTAAGGAATTGATTTCATTTCTCTATCACTTTATTTGCAGAGGCAAGACTCATAACACTTTGATTCCAGCTATGACGGACAATAGTGATCAGTGGTTTTCCCCGATCATGTTATCTCGTCGGTCTGTGTGAAGTATTATGGCTGGACAATTGAGACGTTCTACCTTCCGTCGAAAGCAAGTTATTATTTTCTATTGCCAAACAGTGAAATAACACCTGACTCTTTCGATAGTTTCAATTTAAAGTATCACTTAGAGTATTGCTCAAGTTTCCATCTCATTATCAAAACATTAGAAACTACCTTTAAGATTAATGAAAAGCATCATATTCACATTTCTGAGGTATTGTAATCCATTAAAGACTGCCATTTTCATTCAAGCAGAAAACATTTGCAATCGGACCTGTGTAGACAATGAAATTACAAAAAATAACGAAGTAACCATGGTTATTTCTTATCAGCAGTACATGATACCAGTTATTTTTTTCCTTGAAAATTAGGACTATTTCGAAGCACGTAAGAAAAATATGCGCATTTTTCCCTGTTGTCAAAGTATGCGCTTAACACAGTGGTCGATTTAGTGGATACTGTAAATCCTTTGTTCAATGACTAAAATCACTAGATCATGTCAAATAATTTCTAAAAGTCCTTTATCTTGAGATGCAATCGTCTCCTAAATGCATTTACGATTCCAGAGCAACAGATTTTAGAGGTTTCCTCAAAAAAAGTGCACTTTAAGCTTTATTATCCCTTTTAAAAGCACAAACGAGCATTTCGTTTGTGAATTTTGATACTGTTTGATGTCTCCTAATCGTGCTGCAGTTTTAAAAACCAAAGTCATGCAGCGCAGTTAACAAGAGTGCTGGTATTCTATCATCAGCAAGTTGGGAATCTTTTCAGAGAAGGAACGCAAAACCAGCGATGAAGGACGAATGATCTTCAATTTGAATAAAATTGGCGCGTTTGCGGTAAAGACATACTACTCAGCTATGATTCATTCGTTTCGCATTGTGCTACAACATTAAAAGGTTTCAGTTTTTCTTTTTTAAATTGTCCTTTGATTGAGTGCAGAAGATGATTTAAAAGTCTACCCGAAATGCATTAACTTCCCCTCATTTCGGCATGTGCCACCTTACATTTTAGGCTGGGGAACATCTCACAGATAAAAAGATGGTTGTCATCTCTTAAAATAAGAAAATTATTTTTTTAAAAGAGAGAGACGCTTATTTCTTCCATTAAATGAACTTGTCCAATACCGATGGGTAAAGACGTATGAAAGCCAGTACCCAGAGGAATTGTGCTTTCGTTTCCGGAAGTAGTTTCGCCTTCCGCTCAAATAACTGCCCGATTTTTCACTAAAGACAAATCAGCTAAAGACTTGCTTTCCTCATTATCATTCGTTTAGCTAAGACAGTCATTCTTTTAAGCAGAGATTCAATCATACGCAATAACATCTCCTGCAACAAATTTATTTTTATTAAAATAATGAAGGTTTCGTGTTTTAATAAGTTGCTATCAATGGTGGAATTAATAGCTGTTGATGCATTTCACTTGTGATGAAATCCTCGGAACGTTGGATCCTCCAATATTGCCATAAACACGAAGCAATTTTTAAATAATCAGTCTAAAGTTTCTTTTCCCTATTTCGAGCCAATGCTGGGGCGTTTTGAATTTAATCTTCAAGCAAGGCGTATTCCTCTTGTAGGCAGTTGTATCGTCAGAGCACTTACTTCCTTGCCCACTGCAGTGGATTGCAACAGAGACGCCCCTCCTGTAAAAGTCAGAATGTAAAATGTTTGGCCGAGGGAGGGCGAAAGAGGGCAAAAAGACGCTGTCAAAGTGCACTCAGAAGAGAGGGTGGAACCTCACGTCCGTAAAAAAGGCTGCATAGAATTCGACATTTTTTGCCTTCCTTTCATCCGAACTTCTAATAAAAAGCGTATGCTGGACTTTAATCTCCAATATTTGCTTGTTTAAAGGGAAATAGTCTACTCTAATTTAAACGTAAGCTCGTCTTCCTTCAAAATGGTCCACAAACAATTAAATCAAAAAGAAAATTTATTTTGCACGATGACAGGCCGAAAGCCGGGATGACTATGCCGTTTAATTACCTTTTTTATTAAAACGGCTCGGATCATTAAAAAATGTAATTTGCCCAATTATACCCTAAATTTTGGTAGAATAAGAGATTTTAGATTAAGTAAAACTTAACATCTAAACTTTCCACTTTAATCTTCCAGTTTTTAACAACGCAGTGTGAACGTCTATTCATATTGGCCGATATCGTACGTATTTACGGATGCTTATTTTTTACTGAAGAGTTTGCTTATAAAAGATTACTTTTATGGCTTTTTGTTTAAAGAGAAATTGTAAATGGTTTGTAAAATAAAGCGATCTCTTCATAAAACGACGGATTGCATCGGTCAAAGGTGCTGCTAAAACTGGCAAATCTAAATTACCTCATCGGCAAGTTCGTTTGGATACTTTCCGAGGGTACACTTTTAAAGAAAGCAGGTCAGGCCTCAAAAGGAACAAAATACATTATCCCATTATTTCTGTAAGTCTATCGTAAACATGCCTTCTTTAATGTTCTAGTGATTCGATACAACTTCGTGTAGGTCGGCGCTAAATTCGAAATACCGTCAATAGGATGCCGGATGCCAGTGCAATCTGGTTAGCATAGGTCTATACGTAGTGCATGTATTTTTACATCTTTACAACAATACACCAAATCACAACCGGTGAATGTGAAATACCCTGCAGACTGATTGAAATTAAGTCGTCAGTAGGAGGATATATAACTGTTTCTAGATTAATTCAGGCTGAAAATAATTCCATTTACAAGTCGGATTTTAATGGATATAGCATAATATGACACACCAACGCATAACTTTTCCAAGCTCAATTAATGCTGTTGAGAACTTTAGTAATTTCTCTTTACAGTAAATTACTGTAAAGAGCGGGCCTTCTTAATAGTTGTGTGAAAGTCGTTATTATAATCCTAAGGTGAAGGGGAACAGTATATTTCATAATGAGAGCATTTAGGTAAGCTTTCTCTAAACCAATCTCAGAATATCAACTTCAAGCAGTCCCCGGTTATTACCTTGAGATTTGTTAGGATTCTACCCCATCAATACTAAAAAACGCATTGCACTCACTGTTAAGGCCTGCAACAACGGCCAACTTCAGTTAACAATCTTTTGACAAAAAAGGAAATCGAGGCTAAAATGCGAGTCACCATGTAAAAAGTTGTGATATTTGTGACTAATGTAAAAAAAGTGTAGTCAAGCCCATTCTTGTAGGCAGTCAAGCTATTCTTCAACGAAATTGTGAAACCGTTCGGAGGAC